TACCTAAAGTATTTCCAACCTGTTTATCTTATCACTCTACACACCAATCTGGAAGTTTCTGAGTATATATTATTTAAGTGTAAATATGTCTGAGATGCAGTGTTACCAATGAGCTATTTAACTTCCACCGTCTAATTTTATAGCACCTGAAATTTTAAAAAATATCTTTCACATTATTTTGACTACCTCCCATTGATTTTTTGAATGGGTAGACTAATTGCATTTAAACAATAATCTCATTTAACTCAAGTATCCCCATGAAGTCAGCATAGAGAGTTATCCTTGCTCTCATTTCTACCTAAGAAAATAATGGAGTGGGCCATATAACCAGCCCATGGTAAAGCTCAAGCTGGACCTCAGGCCTTTGGACCCTCTCCCAGGCACCTTCCAGTACTTCTCCGGCAGTATTGAGTCTAAACTTGTTTGCCCACATACAGTAGTATTACAAAAAAGAATAAGGGAGAATAAGAAAGAAAAGAGGGAGGAGAAATAATGGGGAAAAGAAGAATGGTTACAGCTAAAGCTTCATTAAAAAAAAGAATGATGGTAAGAAACAGAAGGGGGAAGAGGAGCATGTAGTTATTAAAGCTGATGTTCTTGGTCATGAATGCTTGTGTCAACATTTAATACTTGTCATATAAAGCTTCCGGATTTAGGTCAGGTGTGGTGGCACACTTGTAATACCTGTACTTTGGGAGGCTGAGACAGGTGGATCACTTGAGTTCAGGAGTTTGAGACTAGCCTGGCCAACATGGTGAAACTTCATCTCTACTAAAAATATAAAAAATCGCCAGGTGTGGTGGCAGGCACCTGTAATCCCAGCTACTCGGGAGGCTAAGGCAGGAGAACTGCTTGAACCCAGGAGGCAGAGGTTGCAGTGAGCTGAGATCGTGCCACTGTACTTTACCCTGGGCGACAGAGTGAGACTCTGTCTCAAATAAATAAATAAATACATAAGTAAATAAAAATAAATCTTCCAGATTTACATCGACAATGTAAGACAGCTTCACAGCAACTGGGCTTCTTGTGTGAGGACCCCAGCACTTGTTTGCCACCCTCCCAGCTGTGTAATGGCAAGCTAGACTGCAGTCAAGGGGAAGATGAATCTGCTACCTACTGTGTTAGGTGAACAAGCAATCAAGTCATCAGCAACTAATAACTAAAATTCGGAATTATATCAAAACATTATCGTACATGAATGTTGCTATTAGAACTAATGCCTTTGTCTAATTTAGGTCAAATGCCTAACAGTCTCCCACAAAACTTGATATTCAAATGTCCTAACCAGAAGACTTGGACATATGTGGACAAGGTGTGTGACACAAGAAATGACTGTGGTGATTGCTCAGATGAATCAGGTAAAAATGAAAATATGTTATTTTTTAATGTCTTCTTGGAGTGGCTACCCTTATACTTCAATTATATAGATTAACTCATACTTACAAGTCTTTCTTAAGGATATATCCATGATTTTAAGATTCTATCATTTCCAGTAGTTTGTGCATAAACTAGATGAATTCTCCAGCTAAGAATACAGCCAGTTTTGCAAGGATCATCAAAGGAAATAATCTTGATAGAAGCACTGGTCTACTATCCAATTCCTTTTATATTTTCTTTAGAAATGTTGGTGAAGACAAAGTCTGTTGAATGCTTTACTCTCAAAAAATTATTTAACGTTTGTATTTCCTTGCTCTTTCTTCCTCACTTTCCTCCTTCCCTCCTCACCTCATTCTGTTCCCTGTGGTGGTTTAATACTGGGCAGACACCTGATCACCCCACAATCTCACAAAACCATGACAATCCGTGCCATTCCAATACCTAATAGTTCCAGTTAGTATCTGAAAGTCTTACCAGATATACACTAAATAGATATTTTCCTGCCCTTTGTCTGGTCATCCTGGGGGGTAGAAATAGAAATACTAGGAATTACAGATAATGCTCTGACAAATGAAGACTAAAAGTATAGAGATCCTTTTCTTCTTGCTAGCTGCCAATTAGCAGTGATTCTTTTTCCTGCTGATTGAATGTACAAACTCAAAGGGACCCTTTCTTATTTATGTAATATGTCAGTGTGTTTATTTTTAGGCTGATAGTGAAGGGTAGTACTTGTCTTGGCTTTTCAAAGTACAAATTCTTTCATCCAAACATGTTGAAACTTTAATAAACATCTGCAATTTTCCTGCTGGGCAGTTTTCACTAATATTTTTAAGATCCAGAGGGCGATTTCTTTCCCAATAATAATCTTTTTCAGTCTACCTTGATATTTTAACAGTTATGGTTTTAAAAAATAAATAAAATTGTCTAGTTTTACAGTGCCCAAAGTGTTCGGGCTGGAGATGTGATACTGTTTTCTTTGCTGACTGTGCCTGCATTCCCAGAACTCGCTGCAAAAATGGCATTCAAGACTGTGCTGATTGGAGCGATGAAAACTTATGTGAATAGAAGACTTTTCTAATCATTGTTTTGGAAAAGCTGAAAACTGATACTAGTTGCCTTAATATTTCTCTCAAAAATTGTACATGTACACACAGACATACATATCTTACTGGGATGGCAGAGGAAAGGAAGAGCTACTGAAGAACATGAATCCAGAGTTAATGGAGAAAAAAAAGGTTAGCAGAAATCAGACCAAAATCTTACTTTCAGCTCATTTCTAAATGTTTCCAAATTTTAGAATGCAGCTTTCTGTTCTGTGCACCATAGGTTATGGGAATGAGACAAACATATTTTAGCTCAATTATTTCAATAAATAAAGGGTATTAATCCTAAGAGCTCTCAGATCAAAACATACCTATTTCAGTTTCCAGCTAAAAACTAGTTTGCTCTGGTCTGCCCCTCTACTCTGCTAGGGCCTAAAATTCTTTCCAGTAGGTAGTGAACTTGAAAAGCAGACTTGGATTTGAATCTCATCCTAACACCTATGGGGCTGTGTGATCTGAGATAAGCAATTTCACCTCTCGAAGATGGTTTTCTTATCTGCACAATGAGGCTCTTTCTTGGGGTTATAAGCAAAGACACAAAACAAGTGGTAGAGTACTTTTAATATCTAACAGCAGCTAAAGGGACTGTAGACAATTAAAAGAAAAATTGCGAGGATATGGTAGATTGTATTACTATTCAAAAATATCTGCTACCCTGGAGGGTTATACTTCCCCAGTCCCACAGCCCCTACTATGTGACTTGCTTTGGCTGAGTTAGTTTATTAATGATACGCATTACTTCCCAGCATAACTTTGAAAGAGCCAGCTGATTGTTTGCCATCCTTTCCCTATCATGAGACTGGCAATGTTCCAGTTAGAAGATGTTTCTGAAGTACAGCGGAGCCCAACCATGGGCAAACCACAAACTTCAAATGTGACAAACCTTTGCAGCAACTAAACGTTTGGTCCTTTATAACTAGCATAAAGAGACTACAAAACAACTTTCCCTATTAATCCAGTTGCCAACACACACCCTTATTTACACAAGCTGAAGAAATAATTTTAGATTGTTGGAAAGAAGTTTCTGAGTACAGGCACAATGGGCTTAATGTTAGACATCTGTCCAGTAAGCAAAATATGCCGGGACAGGCCTCGCCTGGAAATCAATTACACTTCTGATAGTCCCTTTCTTCTAGGCCTAGATGAAACTGGAAAGATATTCAGATAGTGGCATTCTCCACTAACTTGTCAGTCACCCCCAATACTTCCTGGGCTGAGAATGTTTCCAAGCATGCAACTCAAAAGCATGGCCAGTAGGCCAGTACCATTAGCATCACCTTGTCAGAAACACAAATCCTCAGGCCTCATCCCACTGCTCTCCAGCTGAGCCATTCCACTTGGTCAGATATATATGTAACAAATGTTTGTAACAGCTTTAAGAGCCAGCGCATGACCCACTATCTTCTCTGCCAGGAAGCTCAGTGTCCCAGACAGGTGCTGCCATCATTGTGGAACCTGGCGTGACTATATAAGCACAGCCCAACCTGACCCATGAGTCTGGAGATGTGCATTTAGTTTTTATAATTTTGTTACAGTTGAGATTTCAGGACTCATTGCAGCTGTGTACTTCAACAGAACTGATACATATCCTCTGTGTAAAATAGCATGATATAAATATGTACAAATACTGTTTACACACAAAGTTGTTTTCCCTAGTTTGACTTTTAGATACAGTTGTATAGCACTTTCAAAAGGTACTTGCAAACCGCTGTGAAATTTTAAAATGAATTATCATTACAAGTAGAAACTAAGACAATTTTCTTTATCAACTGGCCTTGGTTCAGATTACATTGTTTTAATTATAATTTGTAAAAATCTTTAAAAGAACCCTATGTTGAGGGATTTTCTGGGACCATGAAACTGGTTCCATGTCAGTTTGGAACCACTTTGGTTCCAACGATTATGGTGGCAGACATTACGTGTTAAAATTATTACCAACTGCATATGCTCAATTTTACTGTACATTAACATTTTTATTAAATAAAAAGTTAACCCCTATTCACTTATTAGTGTTGACACTTAAGGAAAAGACAGTGACCCAGGAGCCATTCCTAAACACTATCTTTTCCAAGTCGCCTTATAAAATATCCTACAAAGAAGAGATCTGGAGATTACTTTTACTTTTTAGAAGTTCTAAACCTCAGGTTATATCTACAAAATAGAGCTCTTAGCTCTTCACAAGTTGAGAAATAAGTAACACTGAGGTAATTCATAAAAGGCACTTAACATATGTCTACAAAAAGACAGATAATATCAAGGGAAAAAGCCTGTTTATCCACTAAGGAATACTCTATCCTCATATTTACACCCACCATACAAACCATGGAAGCACTAAGACTATTGGAGAGAAGTTTTCAAACATGACAACTTTAAACCACCTGTTATACTACACTGTGATTTTAAATCTTTAATCAAATTCCAAAGGTTACCAGCCATATTGCATGCCATGATTAGCTTTCTATAAGCAATTTTGTTTACTGTGTATAGATTGGTGTCAATGAAATAAAAAATAAAGCTGAATACTAGGCAAAGAACTTTATTAACCTTGGTTTCAAACTTGATTCCCAGGCTTCTTCGGCTTAATTAGCTGCAAAGAATGAATTGTGTATAAGCAAAAAACTGAAAAGAGCTGCAGTGTCCAAGGGGCTTGGGCTTAAAAATATTAGAGATCTAGATTTTATCAGATCCATAAACAAAAATTTCTTAAAAAGCAGTCATAATATAAAATAGCAGCTCCCAGTAACTTCTTCAAGTTTTATCTTCAGAAGTTGACTCAATTCAGTTTGCCTCATTCTTGGAAGCCTCATCAAAATTCTCCACAAGATCTAGGGAAAGGAAAAGAGTAGAAATTCTTTAAAAAGCCAAATCTATAAATAATTATCAGATCTTAAAAGGGGATGAGAGAAAGCCATTCATTTGCCGATAATGTGTCATAACCCCAATAACAAGAATGCAAAAAAGAAAAAAAAAATCTCCTCTACCCATCTCATACACTGGTTAATATAATATAGGGGAGCAGAACCAAAGAATACAATGACACAAAATGTTAAAATTTTCCTGGATTCCTCAGGATACCTGCCTATGCAAAGTGGAAGTATTTATGAGTCTAGTGATTCTCCTGCCAAATAAATATTTTAGAAGAAAGCAAATTTATCCACTAACAGATAATAAGAGACAAAACTGTCTCATGAATCCCAAAGGAGTTATGCTGCTAGAGATTTTAGACTGGTTTATATATCCCAAGATAGCTGAACAACTCCACACCCTCTTGTAAATTCATGAATTTCAAAGTAGGGAGCAAGGGTCATTAGTGCTCTGCAGGTAGTAGTTATATTTAGGGTGCAATATATATTACTTATTTATTCAATATTTAAGGTTAGATATCTACACATCCTTGAGATCTCAAACAGAAACAAGCCAAGTCAAGTCCATAAACATAATTCTCAATTACTTAATATTGCATCATTTTTCTCATTCTAAGCAAGTTCTATGTTCACCTTAACTTACAATCCTTATTCCCTGGGTAGTTTTTCCTACAAAGATTTCTTATTCTCCCTTGCTAAGATTCTCTAGGTTAGCCACAAGTAAAGGTTCCTACCTGGAACTTCATCATCATCCTCCTCTCCAGTAGCAAGCGGTGCTTTTCCATCCACAGCTATGAAAGGAAAATGTAAATATTACTTGTCTAGATTTTAAATATTCACCCCAAAAAAAACAAAGCAACAACAACCAAAAAAAAAAAAAAAAAAGATGAAATGCCAAGTGTTGTTACAACTTATTTTCATGATAAGGGACATTTGGGACTTTACATACAGTACTATCAATAACATATTCTAATGTCTATGAATGGGCTAAAATACTAGGAACAGACGACAAACAAAATTCCATACCCATCCTTTTAATCCCTCTGGGTAGTGTAAGGGAAGTAGGGAGCAGGTAAAACCCATATACCCAATTATGATAAGATTTATTTTGGGAGACAAATGAAGAGGCCATTTTCTCAACTACTATGTATGTGGCATAAGGGAGATGCTCAAAATCACTTATTGAAATGAAAACATTATAGTAAAAAAATTAAGAGTCCATGAGTGATAAGTATCCACTTTCCTTTATCACACAAGAATATGAACTTACACAAGAGAGTTATGTACTAGCCCCATACAGGCATCAGTGGGATACTTCAAAAGCTTACCTCAACTCTGAAAGCCATGCCAGTTTAGAATCTGCATCTCAACATGACAACAAAAATACAAATTGAGATAGACTGAGTCAACAGCTAGAATACCATGGGTAACTAGGCTGGGCACAGTGGCTCACGCCTGTAATCCCAGCACTTTTGGAGGCCAGGGCAGGTGGATCACAAGGTCAGGAGTTCAAGACCAGCCTGACCAACATGGTGAAACTCCATCTCTACTAAAAACACAAAAATTAGTTGGGCGTGGTGGCATGTGCCTGTAATCCCAGCTACTCAGGAGGCTGAGGCAGGAGAATCACTTGAACCCAGGAGGTGGGGGCTGCAGTGGGCTGAGATCACGCCACTGCACTCCAGCCTGGGTGACAGATTGAGACTCCATCTCAAAAAAAAAGAAAATCATGGGTAACTAAAAAGCCATATATAAATCTGACTTGCTCCTGCATTCCTATTCTTCAAAATTGTAAGCACAAGGCGGAAAATAGTACAACGTTGCCACATCCTCAGATGCATATTCAGCTACATTATTTTCTGCTCTGAATAAAATCCCTATCACATTGGAATTAAAAATGCCAGAATACTGGCAGGCCATTTTTAAAAGATTACTGTTAATATCAACTATATAGATGCAACTGAAGTAGTTTCATAATTTACACTAATGTATTTTTTGAACAATTCCAAACTTGTAAGTAGTTATCAGCAAAACACCAAATTAACATTTTCATCATTTCTAGTTAATAAAAGTAATAAATCAAGTAAGTAGAAAACATTCCACAAAATCAAGTATAATGATCATAGCACGCTACATAAATTATTGCAAAGTTGAGCAAAGACACTTGCTCAAAATCAGTTACAAATCTGTTATTTTAAAAGCTTGCATTTCCAAACTTAAAAATACTCATATCCATTCTGGGCCCGAGATCACAGAAATCAGCTGCTAAATGAGTAATTCCCCTCATAAAACCACTAATAAGAAACTCACATTGTTTGGGCAGAGCTTCAGCCAGTCTCCTTAAACTGGTCAGACTGTCTGCCCCAAGCTGGTTTAAGATGCTGGGTAGCATTTCTGTCAGCTGCTTTGTCTCAGCATGGCCTGTAATGGTGAAAGTGTTCGCTGCCAGAGATGCCTGAACTTTAGGGTTGTTAAAGTGGATCACTGTTCCTTGGTTTGTAAACATATTCACCTATTAAGAAAAGAAAAATTTAAATTAGCAATGCTGACCAAAGTCTCTTTAAAAATAGATGTTTTATTAAACTACATCTGGCTAACTAATCTAGTATTTCACTGTGAAGCACAGGTGAAATTTTGCCTGGAATGGAATATACATTCTAATAGCAACCAGACTTAATGATCTCCCTGATATTCATTAATTTATGGTAGAAACACGTCTTAGGGACTTTAAAGTCTAGCAGGTTATGAAATACTTTGTTGGGAGTTAAAAACAACAACAACCCAATTAATGAATGAGCATTAACTTTTCCCAGCCAAATCTTGTTTTTTTAAAGAAAAAAGAAATATGACACTTGCCTCTTCAATACCAGAGATATTGTTCACCCCTAACTTCTTTAAGGAGAACTGAAGTTTTTTATCATCTGCTGTAGCTGTTCTATGAACCACCTTCTTCTTTCTGCGAGCAGTTCCCTGAAGTTGGGGAGAAAAGGAAAGGAAACAGCACATTTATACCATAACAGGTATTTTTCAAGTAGGAATCGTTTCCAATTCATTTTTAACCTTTGGATCTGAGTAAGAACATTACCATAATCAAAGATTTATGCAGTGAGCAAGCAGGCTAAGACAGACAGAAGCAAAAAAATGAGAAAGGAAAAAATGATCTTTTGAAAGTTCTACTGTTTACATTTGCTCAAAAATGATCAGAGGTAGCACATGTCAACCTAAATTAAGCTTCATTTGAAAGAACTCTACATCCAGAATTATTAATCTTTTTTTTTTTTTTGGACACAGAGGCTCACTCTGTCACCCTGGCTAGAATACAGTGGTAGAATCTGGGCTCACTATAACCTCCGACTCCAGGTTGAAGCAATTCTCCTGCCTCAGCCTCCCAAGTAGCTGGGATTACAGGCACCCACTACTTTACCTGACTACTTTTTGTATTTTTAGTAGAGATGGGGTTTCACCATGTTGGCCAGGCTGGTCTTGAACTCCTGGCCTCAAGTGATCTGCCTGACTCAGCCTCCCAAAGTGTTGGGACTACAGGCGTGAGCCACTGCACCTAGCCTCTTTTCTGTTTTTATATTAAATAAAAATCAACCTCCAAATTAGTATTTACAGGCAAGATAGTGTATGGAACAATCAAATTAATCTGTATATGGACTTCTATAGCACTCAAGAGTAAAATCTGAAGCTCTTACCTTAACCCACAAGAGCCCTACACAAACTGTCCTGCCCTTAATATGCTACTCCTGACTGAATCTGCTACTACACACATTCTTCTTTAGCCAAATAAACCTTGGATGTTTTTTGAACAGGGCAGGGAGACTATGACCTGAGGGCCTTTGCACATGCTGTTCCTTTTTTCCCTGAGCATCTACATTGCTCTTTCCCTTACTGCATTTATCTACTCTTATGTCACCAAGTAAAAGTGGTCTTTCTCAACTACCCAAAGTAAAATAGCAACTTCTACACTCACCCATCAATTTCTTTCTATTCTGGTTTATTTCTCTTCATAACACAAGGCTATCACCCAAACTACCTCACTGTCCCCCAACCTCCACACCTATTCATCCTTTAAAATCTTAGGCCAGGTGTGGTGGCTCACGCCTGTAATACTAGCACTCTGGGAGGCCGAGGTGGATGGATCACTTGAGGTCAGGAGTTCAAGACCAGCCTGGCCATGATGGTGAAACCCCATCTTTAAAAAAAAAAAGAAAGAGGCCGGGCGCGGTGGCTCACGAGGTCAAGAGATAAGACCATCCTGGTCAACATGGTGAAACCCTGTCTCTACTAAAAATACAAAAAATTAGCTGGGCATGGTGGTGAGTGCCTGTAATCCCAGCTACTCAGGAGGCTGAGGCAGGAGAATTGCCTGAACCCAGGAGGCGGAGGTTGCGGTGAGCCGAGATCACGCCATTGCACTCCAGCCTGGGTAACAAGAGCGAAACTCCGTCTCAAAAAAAAAAAAGAAAGAAAGAAAGAAAAAAATCTTATTCAAGCCATTACCTCTTGTGTGCCTTTCCTAAATTCTGCAACTACTCCCTTTCTCCATGCCAAATCATTCCCATCTCTAGATTTAAAAAATGCTTCTACTATTGCACTACGTATATTACATTGTGAAAACAGATTAAAAAAAAAAAAGACAATTATCACCACTGCTAGGCTTAAAGCCCACCTAGGGACTTTAAACTTCTTAAATTTTATATTCTCAGGACCCAACAAAGTAAAGGCTTAAATAAATATTGTTATTTAACTGAAAAAAAAAAAAAATTTATCGCCACAGGGGGAAAAAAAAATACTGGTTACTAAACTTCACTCCAAACTACTAAGAACAAAAATCATTTCAAAATGGTCACGTATGTACCTGGTTTCCAAAGAAGCTTCTCTAAGAAATTCAAAGGATTTTCTAGAATTGTGAAGACAAACTCAGCATACCTGCTATAGGTTTCATATACTTCACATATGTAGAGTTCAATTTTCACTTAAAAAATTCTCAACGCTTTGATATGGAAATAAAGGGTTTTTGTAACATTTACCTAAGAGTACCCAACACTTGCAGTTTTCTCTAAAGCAAAATTCACTCACCTAATTTCACATCCCATAATAAGTAGGCTTCTTAAACAGTGTAGAAATGTTTCCATATTCTAGGACTACCAAAATACTTCTTGTATTATTAGCTAAACGAGTATTAAGATGTTAGGATAGAAAATTTAATCTTTTATCAGATTTAAATATCCTAGCAAACCTCAAGACTTTTCTTTACCCTAAAGTGATTTCTCCCAAAGTTAAAACCTAATGACGAAAGCAACAACAACAAGATTACACACGAGCACATTATTCAAATTACTCCTTCTGAAACTGAAAGAAAGAATGGTTAAAAACACCAATATAAGAGCATCCAAACACAGACACAAAAAATACTAGTTTTTCTGGCACTTGAAGACCACAATCTGGAAACAATTGATTAAAAAGGACAACAATCACCTAATGTTAAATGTGCAAGTATGGATCTTGAAGACTACTAGTGTCAGCAAAAATTTAAAAAAAAAAAAAAATCAGGATAAATTTACTGCTGGCAAAGTTCAGCAATTTAACAAAGCCGTGTTCTAAGTCTAAGTGCAATTTCTGGCTATGTTACAGCTGATTCTAAGTTAAACGCTTACAGTTGTGAAAAACGAATGGGTAATAAGCATGTACTATGGAAGCTTTACAAGTTTTACCAAGTAAATACATGCTCTGTTTCAACAAGGTACCACACCTTGTTAAATACTAAGAATGTGTAACAATACAAACTAGGTAGACCTCTGTCTACAGTGGACTTATTTTTAATTAAATTACAGAACAATTTAAAAATCAAGTTCAGAGAAGAATCCCCTTGATGTGAATTAATATCCACTAGGAAAAAACAGTTAACCAAAAACTGATCGTTTAAATATCAGTCACTTTAATCCCCTCATTTTTATAGTAATACAAAGTCACAACAGGAAAGAAATCTACTTGGGTTACATTTTCAAATCTAAGTCAATGCTCTTGAACTCCGACATGTACCTCCATCTTCAAATACCCTTAAAAACATGCAACTACCCTAAAGAATACATAGTTCAGAAAGCAGTACAGAAAGGTCTCAACTTACAAGACACATAAACAAGCACCGACTTTATACAACTTAGGCCAAAACAAGTCAAGGGTATGATGTGCACAATAATCTAACTGAAGTGACACATTTTCCTTACTAATTAAATTAGGAAACACTTTTGTTCAACTTACACACTGTAACACTGAAAACACAAACATATTTACACAAAAGCAATGTTTTTAGCTCGTGTCACGGATGTATTTCTATCTAACCCTCGTCTCCCCCTCCCCCCGGATTTGCTAGCTCCGTGAATTTCCCTTGGTAGGCAAAGTCTGTCACCGATAATACGAGAAACGCAAAAGAAGTGCCTTGAAACAAAACCCGAACTATTAAAACTTACTTTCCCACCAATGCGCACTTGTGCCTGCAGTTTGGCGAGTTTTTCCTGGTTCATGATTGTTTCTTTCATCTAGAAAAAGAGGAAATCCTCAGCAAGGAAGGGTTTCGCTCACTCTAGCATTACATGCTCGTTATTTCCCAAGACACCAGCAGGAAAATAAATGTCCTACACAGGCCGAAACCTGGATCCCAAATCCACCCCGCAAAGTTCCAAATTGGGGTTTCCAGGGAGCCCAAAGAGCACCCGCCTCCCCACCACTTCCCCACAGCTCCCCGCTCTAGGCAAGCCTGGATCAAGGCTCTACCCAACGCCTGGCCAGCACCCCCCACCCCTGGCCCTGGCCTGGCCTCGGCCTAGCCAGGGCCTGCCCGGCCCGGCCACTCTCCGCAACCCTCGCGGTACCTGAGGCTCCTGTCCTCGGGTTCCGCCGGGAGGTGGAGGTAGAGACAGCGTCGCCTCGCCCCCAGGGCAGCCGCCCCTGGCTCGACCTCGCCCCCGAGAGTCAGCCTGAGCGGGTGCGCCTGTCCGTCGCATCGCCTTCCTCTCCTCCTCAGCCCTGTCCCTCCCTGTCTTGCTCCTTCAGGGAACTTCCCGCCCCCGCTCCCGTCCGCCTACCACGCCGCCGTCCAGAGCCTTTTTGTACCTTGTCGGAGCGGATAAGGGGTCGCGCGGGGGACTAGGGTTGGTGCTCAGGGGGCCTCGGGTGGACCAGCTGAAATTAGGCGCACACACGCGGGGACGCAAGATGGCAGCTAAAGGGGAGGCGGAAGTGACAAAAGGCCGCTTCCGCCAAGAGTCAGGAAATGGACTTCGTCGCGAGCTCCGTGCCTCCCTGCGCATGCGTCGAGGAGTTTGTGACGGTACAGTGAGCCACTCCTCTCTTCTCCACTAGGGACTTCGAGCTTGGGGCGCTGCACGTAGCTCTGGGAGAGACCACAAAGGGGTCGGAGCGCGTGGTCCTGTGCACAGTTAGGGTTGAGTAAGTCCGCTCAGTCTCCACTGGGCTATAATCCTGAAGTTCTGTACCCTCCGGAGAATGGGCCTATTTTCGTTTCCCAGAAACAAGGGGGGCGCTCAGTTTCTGCTCACCACTCGAGCAGCTCTCCTCTCCCTAGACGTGTAGGTTGGAGAATTGTAGAATTTCCCTCTCAGCCCGAATGAGCCTTTACCAAAGCATTTTGCCAAAAATAGTGAAGCTAGTTTTGCTTTCCAAGGTTGGGTGATGTGGTAGATTGCGGAACCGAGGTTCAGAATTTCTGGGGGCTGTATCCTTGCGCCCCACTCCTCAGAATGCAACTCTGTACGACAAAGGGGCTGCGTAATCGGCATTTCAGCCATTTAGCAGATGACTAACCACCTTAGAACGGTCTATACGATTACCTTGTTTCCTTATCAGGCAAAAAAAAAAAAAAAAGACTCCTAGATACCGAATTGGCATAGATTGGACAATTAGCGATTCACGGTTATTAAGCCTACTTTAACTTTCTTAATTCAATGAAAGGAGAATTTCTGCCTGCTGTGTTTGGAGAGACAACATGTGAATGTGAATTAAACTTTGGTAAACCCCAAGATAAGCCTTAAGACAAACTGATACTTAAAATGGCAATTTAAATAAAAATGCTATCTTACCAGCCTTTTTGTGGTCTTATCCTTGAAATGTTTTTGCATATTCAAAAGTGAGTCCAAAATCTAAGCTAAAGAGAAAGCAATATATATAGCAAGAACACTTGTGTAAGTGCAGACTCCTCTCCAATTAAGATCAGTGTTTAAACTTTTTGAATATTTTTTACATGTCAGTTTGTTTAAACGGTGTTGTCTAATTAAGAATATAATTGGTGAGGACAGCTGTATTGCTTTTTAGAATAATTGTTACAGTTATATATTTTTTTAAAATGTTGCTTCAGTTAAATATGAGTGAAGTTTAGTACAGGAAAGGGTGTTTGTAGTTAGGCTTATGTGGGCCACCTTCCTAATGATAAAGGCCAAAACGGCAGTATCAGCAGTATTCAGTGCTATGCAGATCTTACAAAATATATAGAAATACTCCCCCTTTTAAAAGGAATGTGTATCTTTGTCCAGGAACAGTTTTTTCCCTCTCCTCCATGTTATATTGGAGGCATTTGAAACTTCCTAGTCATGTGATGTTTTCTGAGCTTTTATATAAATAAGATTCTATGTATGTAATGTGCTACCTGACTTCTTTTTTTTTTTTCTGCCCTCCCTCTCCTCTGTCCTGACTCATCTTTTAATACACCTGTTTTCCGGAAATATTGTGAGCTACTACTTTTCTTGTTTTTATTTTTTGAAACCAGGCATGCTGCTAGTTTTATCTTTGTGTGTGTGTGTGTGTGTGTGTGTGTGTGTATGTATGTATGTATGTTAATTTTAAACTTAAAAAAATTAAAACAGATGGGGTTTCACTTTGATACCTAGGCTGGGCTCAAACTCCTGCACTCAAAGGATCCTTCAGTCTCAGCCACTTGAGAAGCTGGAACTACAGGTGTACACCACCTTGCCTGGCTTATGACTTTTTAAAAAAATTTTCCCCTGGTTCCTACTTTTCTCTCTTGTTCTTTTATGATATTAAAGGTTTGCCACGTGTTGAATATATCAAAGATTCCTTAATAGGAAGAAAATAAGTTTCGATTTTCTTTTTATGTTCTGTTTTGGTTTGCTGTTTGTGCTTTTCTATTTAGAGACAGAGGTCTTGCTCTGTTGTCTAGACTGGTCTCAAACTCCTGGGCTCAAGCCATCCTCCCACCTGGGCCTCCCAAAGTGCTGGGAGTACAGGCATGAGCCACGATACCTGGCCAAAATTTTGATTTTTTACTCCAGCTGCCTCTGCTTGTTTTTTGAGTAGTTGGAAAATTCTGATTCTTTTAATAATTATGTACTAGTCTTTTAAAAAATATGGGATTTTTTTGTTTCGAAAAACGATACTACATTGTAATCTTAGCTCAAGGAGGCGGAATCAGTAACTTGTGCTCATGTGGAAGCCATTTCCAGTATGTTCCCAAAGTCTATGGCAAATGTGGGCAATTGTCTCCCATGCTGTCCTGCTGGGCTTCAGGGAGCCTAAGAATCATTTACTCAGCACTCAAGATGGTGTCTGTCAATAGAGAAGGCAAGAAAGGTGAACCCTGTTTGCCCTCTTTGGTATATATACCAAAGATATATACCAAAGTATATATCTTTATAGTCTTACCAAAGTCCATGAATTGTTTTCATCTCTCCGTTGGACTTGAGTCAGCTTCAGCAAAAGTCAAAATACTCACTTTATATAATGCTGCTTCTTTTTTTTTTTTTTTTTTTTTTTTTGTTAAAGATGGAGTCTCTCTGTTGCCCAGGCAGGAGTGCAGTGGCACGATCTCGGCTCACTGCAACCTCCGTCTCCCAGGTTCAAGTGATTCTCCTGCCTCATCCTCCCCAGTATCTGGGACTACAGGCGTGTGCCACCATACCCAGCTAATTTTTGTAGTTTTTTTAGTAGAGACAGGGTTTCGACATATTGGTTAGACTGGGAACTCCTGACCTTGTGATCCACCTGCCTCAGCCTCCCAAAGTGCTGGAATTATAGGCGTGAGCCACTGCGTCCAGCCTATAATGCTTATTTCTTAAGGGCTGTTGAGCCCCCTTTTAACCCACAGGAGGTTTTGGGAAATCACTTAGGATGCACACTCCCATACTTTCATGCTTTAGTTGTTTCATGATCTAGCCCTTGCGTGGCAGTCACGATGGCCTTTTTTTTTTTTTTCTCAGTTTCTAAACCTCCTTGAACTCTTCTGGAACCCACATCTTTGTCAACTTAGTGCCTATACATAATTTAGCTCTTAGTTAAAATGTGTCAGGAAACCCTACCCGGCACCAGCTGTAATAGGTGTAACCTCATTAAGTTACACCCTTCATTTTTAATTGTGGTATTTTGTCAAATGCAAAATCAGAGATTGATAATCGTGTTCATTCATGGAGAATTGAACTGGGAGTCTAAATAACGGTTTCCTGCTAGATTAATATTGAGTGCTTGCTTTTTGATCATTTGATCCTCACAGAGATCTAATGTAGGTACTTCCCATGATACTGGTAAGGAGACTAAGGCTTAGAGGTTTAAAGGTATGAAGATAGATACAACTGTCCTCATCTTCCCTCTGCCAAATCCATCCATCTACATGTATCTCAACCTATAAATGTTGCCTTCACTCCTCCTATACATGGAAGAATATTCCTTCTATTCATACTTTTGCTTATTTCATTCAAGACTTTGATTCTGTGATTGTCTCCCTCTTTATCTGTTTTACATATTCACCCACAACATTCTACCAGTATACCAATAGGCCTTAGAATCAGGCATCTTAAAAGAGGACAAAACAAAAAAATTTCTTTTAAGCTATGTTCCTCTCCAGCCACTACTTAATTTTTGTGTTCCCCTTTATAGCAAAATTTCTCTTAAAAAAAAAAAAAAAAAGATCTGAATCTCGAACTTGGCAAATCCAAAAGATAAATCCTTGGTTTTCATTTTACTCTTTGAGCAGCATGTTCCACACTCGGCCATGTCTACATTTTGAACCATTTTCTTCTCCAGGCTTCTAAAACATCTCATTTTTCTGATTTTCCTCTTACCTTGCTGGTTTCAGTCTACTTCAGTTATTTTCCTCCTCTGACTAAATATTTCCTCCTCAACTAAATATAAATATGAGTTGCTCACTTTTTAGTCCCTGTCCTCTTTTCTGTTTTTCTTCTTACATGTCATCATCCAATCCCATGGCTTTAAATGTTTTTTATTTTGATGGCTCCCAAACTTATAATTCTAACCTTAACTTCTGTTGAATTATAGACCAACTTTTTTTCATTATTCAGGAAAACTTCAGATACATAAAAGTAAAAAGAGTAAGGAAATCTCATAGGCACATCATTCACCATCAACAATTATCAAATTAATGTATACATTTGGTATTCTTTTTTCTTTTTTTTTTTTTTGAGACAGAGGCTCACTCTTGCCTAGACTGGAGTGCAATGGCGCGATCTCGCTTACTGCAACCTCCACTTCCTAGGTTCAAGTGATTCTCATGCCTCAGCCTCCTGAGTAGCTGGGATTACAGGCGCCCACCACCACATCCAGCTAATTTTTGTATTTTTATTAGAGACAGGGTTTCACCATGTTGGCCAGGCTGGTCTCTACTGACCTAAAGTGATCCACCTGGGATTGCAGGCATGAGCCACTGCGTCTGTCCCACTCAATATTCTTAATAGATGGTAGGGCTATTTCCCTTTTTTCATTTTTGAGACTGATATATTTGCAGATATTCTATATACATTTTATATGCATTTTAGGTTGTGTTCCATTTCGAAATTTTGATTGGGATTGATTGTATAGCTTGATTTTGGAAACATTTATATATTTTCTTTTTTTTTTTTCTTTTCTTTTTTTTGAGATGGAGTCTTGTCCTGTCACCCAGGCTGGAGTGCAGTGGCGCGATCTTGGCTCGCTACAACCTCCACCTTCTGGGTTCAAACGATTCTCTTGCCTCAGCCTCCTGAGTAGCTGGGACTACAGGCGCATGCTACCACACTTCGCTAATTTTTTCTACTTTTAGTAGAGACGGGGTTTTACCGTGTTTGCCAGGATAGTCTCAATCTCCTGACTTCGTGATTTGCCTGCCTCAGCCTCGCAAAGTGCTGGGATTACAAGCATGAGCCACTGCGCCTGGTTGTTTTTATATATTTTCTAATTGTATGACTGCATTCATTTGTAGGAAATCTGGCTTTTTTTTTTTTTTTTTTTCGAGACGGAGTTTCGCTCTTGTGACCCAGGTTGGAGTGCAATGGTGCGATCTTGGCTCACCGCAACCTCCACCTCCTGGGTTCAGCCAATTCTCCTGCCTCAGCCTCCTGAGTAGCTGGGATTACAGGCACATCATGCCCAGCTAATTTTTTGTATTTTTAGTAGAGATGGGGTTTCACCATGTTGACCAGGATGGTCTCGATCTCTTGACCTCGTGATCCACCCGCCTCGGCCTCCCAAAGTGCTGGGATTACAGGCGTGAGCCACCGCACCTGGCCCAAATCTGGCTATTTTTAATATGTAGGGATTTAATATAAGGAATAGGTACTTTACAAAGTTTGAAGGACTGGAGGAGTGGGCTTTAGCCTGGGCTATCAGAAGTGAATCCTAGGATAATACAGATTTAGTATACCTAATCCTAAAATTTTAAATCCAAAATGTTCCAAAATCCAGAGCTTTTTGAGCACTAGCATGACGCTTAAAGGAAATGCTCATTGAGCATTTCAGATTACAGATTTTCAGATTAGGACTGCTCAGCCAGTAAGTACATAATGCAAATATTAAAAAAGAAAATCTCAAGTCTGAAAAACTTCTGGTTCCAAGCATTTTCAGATAAAAGATACTCAACCTGCACTCCAGAACTAGGCTGTCACAAGACCTGCTGCAACTGTTTTCACCCATCCGGAGGATGGAGAATCAGGATCCTACAACTGGAATTATTGATGTGAAGAATGCACCACTGTAGCTATAATTCAGGAGTCAAGAAGATAGTTATAGGAAGTACCATTCAACACCTACAAAGCTAATGACTGAGCTCTGGAAAGCTGCTGCAGAAAATATATCTCCTGA